GACAAAGAGTAGGGATGGGTATCGTTTAGGTTTTATCCGATACCGGTGCCAAACGGTACTTTTGAAACGGTGCCGGTGCTTAAACGGTGCTCAAACCGGTGCTTAAAGAATGGAGAACACAAAATTGGTCCAAAAACCTCTCATGTTCAGCTGGTTTTTTGTAAAAAGATAACAATGTTAGCCTTTTCTGCAGCTATGGGGCATATATGGTATCACTCTTGGCTGGAAGCAGTGCTTAAACAATGGAAAAAACACAAACTTTGTCCAAAAACCTCTCATGTTTAACTGTTTTCCACTTTTTCTTTGGTCATTTTAGCCTTTTTGGCCAGGGTGAAGGGAGTATCTGCCATCAAACAAGAAGACAGCCGCATGTACTATGATGATGTTTGCTAGTTCACCTTACATGCATTAATGTAATAACGTGGTTAGCCTACTCAACGTAAATTACACACGAACAACATTAAGCTACTCACGCAGAGAAGAACGGCTGCTGCTGCCATCATCATCCGTCATCATTTCTGCTACACTGGCAGGGCTAGGGGCCAGGACTCTCCTCTTCGGGTTTTGGGGGATGTTGCTAACTCCGGGTCGATAACAGGCAACCCACCCGCAGTAGATGTGCTCGGTGTGAGGTCTCGCAGCAAGCTATCAAATACGGCGCATTTTTCGGCTTTTAAAAAAAACGCTATGCGTCGCCAGGTGTTTCATCAGGATTCTGAGGTGTTACCTCCTTTGACAGTATCACAGTATCAGCTTAAAGCACTTGTTGCAGGCTGCTGAGACAGCAGATTTTTCTTGGGCATTTTTAATCTGTAGCTCTGCTCTAAAACGTACGTACCTGGCCCGCCTACTATCCTCGGAAACGTAAAATGATTGGCTAGTAAGTGTATCGACAGCTCAGGAAAAAAAAGCACCGAAATAAAGCACGAAATGTGCGCTGCTTTTCGGTCTGGTTACTACCGTTTATGTCAGAACCGGTGCCATCATGGCACCGGATACCGGTACCCATCCCTACCAGATTAAAAAAGTACATTCAGTTTTAAATCAAGGGCTTTATCATTAGAGGTATGGCTCTGTGTGAAAACTTGATTGCCTCCACCTTGTTAAATCATGAATAAACTGTGATTAAACACGTCTTTTACAACGCTAAGTTTCCCTCCCACTTTAAGGCCTGATTACTGCCTGTAATCACTTAAACAGAACCTGTCTGACAAACTGAAGCAGACTGAGAAATGCAGCACAACATGTCACAATTGAAAGAGATGAGAAACAAAGTCACTGACATCTATCAATCTGGAAAGGGTTACCAAGCAATTTTGAAGGCTTTGGGACTCCAGCAAACCACAGTGAGAGCCATTATCCACAAATGGCGAAAATATGGAACAGTGGTTCCCAGGAGTCGCTGGTCAACCAAAAAGACCCCCAAAGCGCAGCGACGACTCATCCAAGAGGTCACAAAAGGTCAGAGTTTATTATTCAACAATAAGAAAGTTACTGGGAAAAATACCACCCATTGGAGAGTTCAAGGAGAAAACAGTTACACAAAGACTTGTCTCACATTTGCCAGAAAAAATCTTAATGATCCCCAAGACATCTTTGAAAATACTCTGTGGACTAAAGAGAGAAACGCGGAACTTTTTTGGGAGGTTTGAGTCCCGTTACATGTGGCATAAAACTAACACAGCATGTCAGAAAAGGAAGTTCGCACCAACAGTAGGGCTGCCACAAACGATTATCTTGATAGTCGACTAGTCACCGATTATTTTTGAGTCATTCCTACTATTCGGTGCCATTTCAGTGTGATCACTCTTCATCAAAAAATACAAAATTTTGAATTATTTTAACATTTCATCTAAAAGAGGGATTTTCAACCTATAAGAAAAATGTATTGGTCCAGCTAAGGATATTATATTATAATATTTTTTAAAATCAAAGTCTTTACCCATGACGTGCCAAATGTCCACCCTGTTACAGGACATTCAATTTTCTATTAATAACTGTTTTGAATACACAGTTATAGTAATATTTACATTTTCTAAAAGCTACAATGTCCCTTTTTAAAATCTGCAAGGAAATTTCATGTTACAGTGCATAGCAATAACAGGGGTGACGGTAACAGGGGGGAGATTTTATGCTAAACTTAGCCATTACTACTAGTATGATGAACAACAAGCTAGTACATGGTGACCACTAAGAACCATTTTTAACATGTTTATTAGCCATATTATAAAAATTACAAAAAAAAAATTGTTTCCATTATTAATAAGCGTAACAGGTTGGACGTGTTATGCTTTGCCACATTACAAAATCTTGCTAAAACATTGAAAAAAGGGTTGATTACAGAGTGGTACTTACTCGTCTTCTTCTTGAAAGTTTTCCCTCCAAAATATGTTACATCCGGGAGTGTCATGTGACTAAAAGAATAATCAGGTGATGTGTTCTATGGAATTCTTATCAGAGTAACAGGGGTGACAGTTGATTCAGGGACACAACATTTTTTAAAGATTTTAAGTATTAAACATGGCTTAATAATAAAAAAGAACATTTGATGAGGAACATTAGAAATAAGCCAATCCAGAAATGATGAAAAATCTAGATTTTTTATTTTTTTTTTAAGTTATATTTGTAACTGAAGTCGAGCAAGCATGACTGGGGACATAGTACTTTAGTGACTTGTGCTAAAATAAAAGTAATTTACTTTTAATGTATTTATCCTGTGTATATATCAATGTGTTCTATGGTAGAGGGGGGTTAAACATACAAGAAAATGGTTTAGAAATAAGCATTAGACAAGTTTTACACTAAATATACCATATTATGTCATTAGGACTCAAATGGCACCGAATAGTAAGAATGACCAGTCGACTAATCAGATCGTGCATCCATTGGACGTAAAATGTACAGCTTATACACCAGCTGCATCTGCTCTTATATAACTATCATTAGCTTACAGCTTTAAGTGTTTAAGGTATGTGCTAACTAAAAATAAAGACAAGATGATAGTTTATTAAATTTTAATGAAATTTGCAGATTGTTTCGGTGAAGTTTAATAAACTCCTTGCTATCTAAAATATAACAGGACACCGGAGTATATTCTCGAGCATCTCACACTTCTGATAATCAGTTGTCTGCTTGACGTTTATTCAGCTGTGTAAAAACTATAACTTTAATCTCAGCCAAACCGATTTACTCAGGAACAAATAAAATACTAAAAAAGCCAAACAATAACATTTTTAAGTTATCTAAGTGACTTATATATGTTTAACCTGAGTAGCGAAAGACGGCGGTGGGTTTGAAAACGATTTGCCGGGAGTCCGGTGTTCTCACGGGCTCTAGTGAGCCTTGCCCCCGGCTAGCTATCGAGCTAGTGGGTAACAGACGTCTCCGAAAACGTCGGAGCGCTTTTGAAAATATGTGGTGTCTTGATAAACTGAGCAGATATTTGAGGTTTACACAGCTACATTCTCGCCTGAAAATATGTTAAACGTTTATTTTGTGACCCAGAAAGAATAATAAGAGTAATATTAAAACTAACTAGCTGCCGCCATTGTTGGAAACTGAGCTGGGCTGCGCTATGAATTCTGGGACACAGCTTCTTCTTCTTCGGGGTTTAACGGCAGCTGGCATCCTTGTACATGCAGTGCTGCCATCTTCTGTTTCAGTCCGTTATTACACTCTTAAATCCTGCTACTTATTCCTGCGTCTTTTGGGATCTTACAAAGCTTCAAACGACGCGTCGACTATTAAATCAGTCGTCGACGATTTTGATAGTCGACGTAATCGTGACTAGTCGACTAATCGTGGCAGCCCTAACAAATGTGGTGTGTGCGGACCTGAAAGACTTGTTGCAGTTAAATGGAACCATGAATTCTGCTTCTACCAAAACATCCTGAAGGAGAATGTCCGGCAATCTGCTGTTGACCTCAAGCTTAAGCGCACTTGGGCTCTGCAGCAGGAAAATGATCCAAACCACAACATGCTCGAAATCCCCCTTTGTGTTTTTTTCCCACACTACACTATATATACATCAAGTTCTGAATTAACTATGAATTTACCCACTTTCAAGAAGTTTACACCAAACAACAGAGGCATAAAATGACAGAACTGCTAAACTGTAATGGGGGAAAAGGACAATTGTGACAGATTATTTATAGAAACCAGTGTAGTCTTATCAGACAATGGAAGCGACTCAGGTGACACTTCTCCTGCACATCTCTCTGGTGTGCCTGCCTCCTCCTCTGAGGGTGCTGAAAGGAACACAGCAATCTCAGCGTCTGCTCCATGGAAAATTATCATTGAACAATAGGCTGTAATATATGGATCGTTTAAAAAAACATTATAATGATATATTATGCCATACAGCATTTTATGTCATAATACATGGAGCTCACAAATTAAGGCTTCAGCAAATTTTCTTTACTTTGTAAATTTTAACAACTGATTTTTCCACTTTTTCTGTGTTTGTGAAAAATACAATATTTAATATTTGGGCTGCAAAATAATAATAATAGATTTTCATATCTCCTTTCCTCACTTGAGTCTATACTTTTGTTAACACGAGTGAGTGCTGTTTTAGTTAACATCTAACATGTTCAGGTACTTTGCT